CCCCCCCCCCTCTGCCCCCCTCGCTCCCCCGCCGGGTGACGCCCAAATAGAGCCCCATTGCCTCCCCCATCGACGCCTTCGACCCCGTGGCCGACGTGGCCGACGTCGATGACGACCTGGCCGAGTTCCTGCGCCAGGAGAAGGAGATGCTTGGCGAGGACATGAGCTTCGAGCCCTCGAGCGAGGATGCCCCGGCTGCCGCCGCCCCCACCGAGTCCTTCGCCGCGGCCGATGTCGAGGACGATGAGGCGGACTTCTTCGCCAACTCCAGCGTCCCCATGTCGGTCGAGACCGCGTCTCCCTCTTTCTCCAGCCCCAGCGCTCCGGGCACCCCGGCCGCCATCCCGGAGGCCATTGCCAAGTGGCGCGCCGAGCGCGACGCCAAGATCGAGGCCCAGGAGGCCGAGGCTCGCACCCAGGCCGCCGAGATGCGCAAGGAGGCCGCCGCCGCCCTGGAGAAGTGGCGCTCCGAGCGCAATGCCAAGATCGCCAACGCCGCGCGCGCCAACCGGTACGTCGGCCGTCGCCGCACCCTCCGCCGGGCGACACGACACGCACACAGGTGTCTGACACGCTCCGCCGCCTCCCTCTTGTGTGCTCCCGTACACCTGCTCGCATTGCTCTGCCCGGCGGTTGGCCTTCTCGCCGGCGGCTGTCGACACACGCGCCACGACACACTCCAGCGACGCCGAGTCCGCCCTCAAGGCCAAGGAGTCCCCCTCTGGGGCCACCGATGTCAACCCCTGGGTCCGTGTCGCGGACAATGTCGACCTGACCACCAAGGGCCAGCGCTCCACCAAGGACGTCTCCCGGATGCGCTCGGTCATGGTCCAGCTCAAGACCAACGCCCCGGTTCGCTCGGGCGTCAATGTCTAAAGAGGAAGATGTGCGCGCGCGCGCGCGGCCCATGGGGGCATCCCCGCCCCCTCCCAGGCTGGGCTACTCCTCCCTCCCTTTGCCGCCCTACAATAGCCCGAGGGCGATCGGGAGAGGGGGGACGACGCGGTATCCTCCTTGACTCCCCTCCGTCTGCGCATCTACACACCCACACACACACACACACAACGTAACACCCGCGAGGGGGGCGGAGGGGGGGCGGGACGAGGTCGGAGGACAGGACTGTGTGCCCACATACGGGGCCGGTCCATCACTCTGTGTCTCTTTCCCCCCGCCCCGCCCGCGCGCATGCCCGCGCTCTTCAAAATACAACATCAAACATGTCCGTCCTGCGAGAACGCGAGAGCGAGAGAGAGAGAGAGAGAGAGAGAGAGAGAGAGAGAGAGGTGGAGCCGATGTGTGTGCGAGTACACATACATACACACACACACACACAGGCCGTAGCAGGGGGCGGGGATCTGGGCATGTAGACGCAGTCATGGGCGCACGCACACACACACACA